CCGCCGGGCCCCCCGCCCCGCAGCTCCGCGCGCTCGTTCTCTCGCCACGGCCCTGACTCACATTCCCAGCATTCCCGAGGAGCCGCTGGGGGGGTCTGGGCTGGGGCCCCCAGGCGCCTCCGCGAGGGGCAGCAGAGAGCGTCCAGCCGGGGGCGGGTGGAGGGCGGCGGTGGTCGTTAAAGCGCCACCTGCCCGGAGACCACCGACGTAAGCACCTCGTTCCCATCACTGGTCCCCATGCCCCTTCCCCAGTACCCCACCTCCAAAAGCTACCAGGCACTCCGGGACTAGTCGGGTGGCTTCCGGGACAGTGGAGGGTATGCAACTATTTTTCAAGTTGAGCACTGGAGTTGGGGGTCAAGGTTCCCATACCTTGATAGCTTCCATTGGCTTCATCTTCTTTAGGAGGGTGAGGGGTTTCTTAAGATACTTGCTTTCTTGTTCGCGCAAGAAAAGGAGAGAATGGAAGAATGTGAAGGGAACTAGAAAAAACGATCATTATCACCATCACTCATTGACTGCCCCTCCTCTGTGCCCTGAGTGCTTCATCCCATTTAAGGTAGAAAGATGGTTTCTGAGTTCATATATACACCTCAGGGTGATGTGCAAAAGAATGCAGACAAGTTTTTCTTTGGAAAACGCTTCTAACCCAGCAAGTCTGAAATCCCATTTGCCCCATTATATATTAGGGAGGGTACCTGGAAATGTCATGAGCATCTCCACGGTTGGTGTCTCACAGAGTAGTCAATTTACAGGCAAGGGTGGTCATTTTTTTTTTTTTTTTTTCCTGTCCTGAAGAGTCTGCTTCTAGACTCCTCCTGCTGGGAAGGCAGACCCAAAAAAAAAAAAAAAAAAAAAAAAGGCAAATTCAGCCATGGGACGTCTGGGTGAGCAGAGGTATGGAATCAGCACAGTGACTAAATGACTTCTCCTTCCCCCCCTTGATGGAAATTCAAATATTATATATGAAGGAGTGGACTCTGAAAGAGAAGGATATCTTTCTGTCCCCATACAAACACCCTGTTCTTAAGCCTTTCTTTTACATCTCTGCCTAGTATTTAAGAATTTTCATCCTTAAATTTTTTCCTGGCTTTCATCCTTTTCTTTCTCTCACCAAGAAATCTTTTAACCTGGATACTCTAGGCAGTAAACCAAACAATACTTGCGTGGTTTCCTATGTACACCCTTGACAGCCTCCCCTGAAAATCTATACGAAAACCTTGTTAAGAGTCTTTTGAGAATTCTAAAATCCCATATCTTTTGAAATGTGACCAACATGTAGTAAGTACCCCCTATGGGCAACACTTACCATTTCTCAACTACTCTCACAAAAACTCTTTAAGATGTTTACTGTCTTCCAGCCAAGTCAAGTAACATACCCAGCTAACAGTGTGTTTAAATCTATGCCTGTTTCACTATTCTTGGCCACTCATTTTCTTTTCCTTTGACCCATTATTTCTTAGCAGAAATCCTTGGTCTTCATGGGGACAATTTCTTGTTTCTATGCCTATGTACATTTTCCTCCAGAGAGTTCTCAAAAGACTTCTTTCACATTGGATCCTTGACCCAGAAAAAAGTTAAGAATAATCACTTTAAATAGAAAGCAACTTGTAAAAACAAGGACTGAAAGTTTTAGGGAATCTTAAGAAAGTCACTTTTGCAGGGCCCTCCCTGGTGGCACAATGGGTTAAAGCACAGCACTATGAAGTTATTTGCAGTTACTGCAGCACAAGTTTGATCCCTTGCTAGGGAGCTGTCCCACATGGCACAGCAGACCTCTCCTGACCCACCCATTGCTCCCCTCAGCAGTGTGGTTCAGTAGACCTGCCCGTTCTGCTCCCCACTCTATCTGGTGAATCCTCTCACCCCACGCACCTCTGGCCCTATACCCCACTTCTTGTGTGCATAAATAAAAGAGTGTGCATAAATAAAGAGAAAGAAAGAAAGAAAGCCACATTTGCCTTCAACTTTATGTTTAAATATATGTTATGGGGATGGGGGAATGTCAGTACAGAACCCAACTTACTTAGAGATAACACACTGCAGAATCTCACCCAGGAGGACAGAAACTAATAAAACATGGTATAGTTTATAAAACATGTTATGTGGCTCCAGGTTTTTTGGTTTTCTTTTGTTTTGCTTTGCTCTGTTAGCTTTTTCAGTCTTTTCCCATTGTGGCTATCTCTTTCCCAGCACATCAGAAGGAGCCCACTTTCAAGGCAGGTATTTTTTCTCACAAATTCACTCATTTGTTCATTCTGCAAATACTGAGCATCTGCTCTGTACTAGTTCTTCTGAGTTCAGAACCCCTGTCCTCAAGGACTATACAGTGTCTGAGGGAGACAGAACAGACAATTTCAATACTGCTTATAAAAGGATAAAGCTCGGCCCTCCCTGGTGGCGCAGTGGGTTAAAGCACAACACTAAGAAGCTAAAGCCACTTCCACATGAGTTCAATTCCCGCCTGCCCCGGAGGTGACCACATAGCGCGGCAGACCTCTCCTGACCCGCCCGCTGCTCCCCTCAGCAGTGTACTTCGTCTATCTGCCTGTTCTGCTCCGACTCTGTCTCTGGTGAATCCTCTCACCCTCCGCATCTCTGGCCTGTACCCCAGTTCTATATGAATAAATAAATAAATCTTAAAAAAAAAAGGATAAAGCTCTATGAAACCAGCCATAGGAGATTGGATCTTTAGTCATAGCTGCCCTCAGTGGGGGCCTCAGAGGCTGTCTCCCAGTATTTTTTATTTTTTTAAAGATTTATTTGATTTATTTATGCATACAAGAACTAGAGTATAGGCCAGAGGTTTTTGGGGGTAGAAGGTGTTGAGAGGATTCACTAGAGACAGAGTAGGGAGCAGAACAGGTGGATCTACTGATATACACTGCTGAGGGGAGCAGTGCTGCACCATATGGGTTAGCTCCCTGGCCAGGGATTGAATTCACACTACAATGGCTGGTGATCATGCTGAGCCTTTAACCCCTATTCACCAGAGAGGCCCATCTCCCCAATGTTTTAAATTGAGCCATGAGAATGCATCAGCTAGCTTTATTGAATGATGAGCTTCTGGAACATGATAGCCCAAGTCAGAACTACGGACCCAAAACCATAAAGCCAAAGTCATCAGGAAATGAGGTCTAAGACCCACCAAGGATGCTAGTCTTCAGACAGGAGAACAGATAGTCATGTAGACAAACCAGGATTCCTTAAGTCATGACAGACTTATTATCTGTTTACTTTTTATCTCCAGTGTTGGTTTCCCAAACTTGCTTTTTCCCCATCAGGTCTGTGGGTTTCATGTACCTTAACATCGTCTCTCCTGAAGTTGCCTATGAGAGTAATTACATCACCATTTATCCCAGTTGTTCAGGTCCATAACTACAACTATCTCTGATGCCTACCTTTTCTTTATACCACATATGTACCCCAATCAGCTAGTTCTAACAGTTTTACCAAGTGCTATATCAAAGCCCATAGCAAAAGGAAAACTATACATGTATGTGTGCCAAATAAAAAGATTAATGAAAGAAAGATCTACAATGAAAAAACACAACTATATGTAAAATTCCATGGTGCCAAATCAGTTCTTTCACCATTGTCAACCTCATAAACCTGCTCAATGAGCAGATATGAAGGCCAAGTGCTCCTGGAACTGAAAACAACTGTTCTTGTTATACAGTGATGCAAAGACTTAAAATTCTCTCTCTCTCATATACACACACACTTTTTTTTTTTTTTCATTATGGCTTCTTACATTCCTTTAAAATCCAGTAATAACAAAGAACAAATACTCATATAACCCATTATTGTGTCTATTTTACAGATTAAGACACAGAGGCACAAAGTAGTGAAGTAACTTAACAAGTTCACACAGAAAGTTTCAGGCCTGAAAGTCAAACCCAGACCATTTGGCTCCAAAATCAACAAGGTAAAGTCAATTGGACTTAGTGAATGGTTGCATAAAACACAAGGGTGGAAAACCAAGAATACTCCCAGGAGTCTGGTTTGAGCAATTGGATGGAACTGCCATCCAGTAAGACTGGAAATGAAGTTAGAAGTGAGGGGTAGAGGACTATGGAAATTTTATGAATCATTTATGGGTTTTATTTGGGGCGTTTTCAATTTAGTCATCCAGAAGTTATCCTAGTGTGCTTTGTGGTAAGAACAGACATAGATGATGAAGAGTGAGAGTGTACAGGAGATATCACCTTTGTTAATTTGCCTTGAGTATAACTGAGTCGCCCAATAACAGTCATAAGCCACAAAAGAACCTAGTTAGATAAGAAAGAAATCCCTTAAGAACTTGCCATTACCTGTCCTTTTTAGGCATGAGGTTATTTGCACACATCTCCTAGGAGAGTAGGTTTTCATTTAAGAGAAATATCACTGGGCTGTCATCAAAGAAAAGGCCCATGCATGGACACTAGATTTTTGGTAAGGGACATAATTAGTATATACATGTGAGAATATAAATATGTACACCTGAAACTTAAAGAAAAAAAAAGATAAAGCAAAACTAAAGAACAAACAAAAAACAAAACTCATAATTATGAGAACAAAAATGGTGGTCACCAGAGGGAATGCAGGGTGGGAAGGAGGTAAATCACGTAAAGGGGGTCATTTGTACAAGAGTGGGTAGAAACAAGACTATTGGTGAGGATAATAATGCAGGATAAACAGACTTCAAATAATACAGTGCCTGAAATCTATATAATGTTATAAACCAATGTTACTTCAATAAAAGAAAATTTTCTTAAGGGCATGATTACTCACTAACAATACCACCTGACCCTTTGAAAGACAACCTATTG